TAATTTAATATTAAATAGTGATATCGTTGTAATAATATAATTATTAGAAAAAAAAATTTCATGAATTGATATGTTATTTACGATATATAAGCTATGCACTCCAAATTCTTGTGTCTTTTATAGAGCCAAAATATTTGAATATGGGCCTCTAACATGTTGCTCTCACAACATCAAAATCCACTTAGGAGATATGGATATTTCAGATGAGTTATGTATCGTATATACAATACAATTGCCCTAGACAAGTAAGTTATAATAGCATTTTTCATTCACATCATTTGTGATAAGATTTGATAGGGGCTTTACATCAAATAATAAAGAATTTTTTATATTTAGAGCACATGGCAAAATATATCATAATCTCCCTGTTCTAATTTCACAAGAAAATAATTCTTCATACTTTCAGATTTACTTCTGTGATATAGAGAATGAGCTATAAAATTGAATGAGAATATTAGATAATATAAATATGGGTACATCAACTAAACGTTAACGTGAATATGAGTCAAACTATAACTAAAAGTTTAATGGAAATATTTCAAGTAAATTCATATGTAAAATTCATTTACGAATTGAATGATCACTCATCATTTGAAGACCCCAAGATACTAATAAATAGAGATGTTGTACTAGATTAATTGTTTATAACTCATAAATAGTAGATCACGTGGCCACAGTCTGAGTTGAAGGAAACAATGATAATATTTTATTTGAGAGAGAGATTATTGAGTTGATGATCAATCCCACAAAAAAAATTATTTTCTTTTTTTATTTTTACTCTATTTTTATCAATTTAAATAATTATGATATTCAACCATGTGTATTGCACATGTATCTCAACTTATGATATTCAACCACGTGCATTGCACTTGCATCTCAACTAGTGTAAATAAATTTGTGTTTTTGTTGAAGTCTGGAGACAATTTTAAAAAGGTTTATCATTTTTAAGAAGTGCTAGACATCGAAGTATTTGAAAAGTATTCGAGTGTTGTTTTTTTAACAATTCATACAAACTTCTAGACATGGGATACCTGGAATCAAGTGGAATTATACAAATTTTTTCCGTCTAGGATGTATTATTGTAGATGGAAATTCCGTCTAGGATGTATTCTAGACGGTTTTTAATTCCGTCTAGAATAATCCGTCTAGAATGTATTTTAGACGGAATTTTCGTCTAGAATACTACATCCTAGACGGAAACATACTAGACGTGTATTCTAGACGGAATTCCGTCTAGGATACGCATTCTAGACGAAATTCTAGGTTCTAGGATGCCTCATTATTTAGTAGTGAACCTTCATAGATATTTAAAATCAGTCAATTTTCATGGCTATGCTCTGATTGTAATTCTCTGCTCTTTTATTATTATTATTATTATTATTATTATTATTATTATTACTATTATGATTATTATTATTATTTGTATATAATTGAACTTATATGTTGTTGCCTAATAGAGGCTATAGTGCTTGCTCTGAATCTAGTTAAAACTGTATATTCGTGATTGTTATATATGTACATACATCTTGATCTCTTTCAATGATTACCCTTTCTTCCCTGAATATTGAAGGACATCATTTTCATGATTTCCACAATGAGAAGGAATCAATCACTTTCAATTGCAAACACCAACCACATATTTTTCTGTTTCTATCATTTTTTATTTTTCACACGATGAATATACCCAACACTTTGGTGGGGTCTAATCTTTCTTCTTTTCATCAAACATATATAAGACCTGGCGTCGTGAAGCGTCAAAATCTCTAGCAACCAAGAAATTCTTCGAGTGGCTTAAGATCGGTCGTTTGAAAGAATCTTGTAATATTTCACGCTTGGTCGTCCAAAATTTGAAGCTATATCAACTTGATGAATTTATTTTACCTAAAACCTTATCCACTAATTAAATATAGTGCAAATAGACGAAATATATCATTTTCTTAAAAACTTTCTCGTGCCAAAAGTGTAGTAGCTTTTTAATTAATTAACTAGTGGTGCACAAATTTTTATTTGTTTTTTTTATAGAGATTGAAGATTGTAATTGTTAGATCTGAGATATAAGCCTAAAGGGGTTGAATAGGGTTGCTATCATTTTTCTCTAAAATAGAGAATAGACAGCGGAAATGATAAAATATAAGCGGACAATAATCAAACATAAAAAAAAAGCCAACCAGGAAACACACAAAATTTTATAGTGGTTTGGATAACAATACTATATTTGCTATTCCTTCTCATGAAGGGACTTCCTCACTATGCAAAGAAATCTCCTAAATTGCAAACCAGATTCAGTAGGCTTAGAAGACCGCACCCTAGAATCTATCCGAAACAAGTTGTCGAACCTAACTCTCTTGAGATGCAATCCTAGGAACGTAGGAACGGGGGGGTGGGGGGGGGTGAATAGGATTGCTATTGTTTTTCACCTAAAACACAGAACGTACAGCGGAATATATAAAGTGAAAGCAATCAATGATATAAATCAAAATACTTAAACACCACATGCAAACAACTAGGAACATATAAAATATTATAGTGGTTCGAATAATAATCCAATTTCTCTTCCTTCTCGCAGTGGGGCTTACTCATTATGTAAATAGTTCTCCTGAATCACAAAAATTGATTTAGTAGGCTTAAAAGACCACATTCTAGATCCTACTTGAAACTAATTGTCTAACCTAACTCTTTACAATGAGTAACACCTAGCCTTAGCTAGTCCTAATTCTCAGTTCAAATTGGTGTGAGTACACCATAAAAACAAGTTCAAGCCAAAACCAACACAAATAGTTAAAGCTCGGGATATTAGAAAGATCTTATATTTCTTTTGTTAAACAAACCACTCTTTAATGAATATAATCGTATCTCAATGAAGAATGGTGTCCGCGACGAGTAAGAGTTTGTTGAGGCTTGAGTATACCATAAAAAAAATTTCAAACCCAAACCAACACAAATAGTTAAAGTGCACAACATTAGAAAGATCATATAGCCATTTTGTTAAAAAAACCATTCTTCAATGAATCAATCCAAGGGCAACACTCCCCCCTGAAGTGATTTGATGATGTTTTTCGTGATCAGTAAGAGTTTGTTGAGACATCAGCGTTCAAATCCTCCAATAAAATCTCTCGCACGTCAAAACCCTAGACTATCCTTCCCCTACTTTGTCTCTATTTCAATAATATATAGTCCTCAAAATGTCAAGAAGGAGATATCCTAAATTCTGTTGAGATTAAAGATAAAAAAGATAAACTGTTAAGATTAAATCTGAAAAATATTGTAATTAGTGTGTTTACCATCGATGGTAACTCTCAACCATCGATGGTGTTGGGGCCCCATTGATGGTTGAGAAGCTCATCAAGAAAGTGTTTGGAGTAAAAATCATCGATGAGTGTTGTTTATCATCGCTAAGCTCTTTCTACTATCGATGGTGGATGCCTACTATCAATGATAAGGGGGCTGAAATCAATTTTTGAGCTGATTTTTGTATCATTTTCTCCTTGTGCACACCTACACTATATAATGTCAAATAAATATTAATACTAAATGAGAGTTTGTTATTACTCAAATAAGAAAAATTACATGGACTATGTCCTATCTCCCTTTTAATAATAACAAACTCGAAATTTGAAATACCGAAACACACGTATATTTGTGATGTATAAATAGCAATAATAAGTATAAATACACTCTCATACAAAAAAAAGTGATATGCAAAGCTTGCCATACATTCATGCATTCATGAAAAATGTAATTAGGCATAGGTATTGTAAAACTCCCCGTAAAACAATGCAACGAGTGTTTCAAAAACTTTTAAAAAATTCAAAACTTGAAAGCACTTAGACAAAATCTCACTCACAAAAGTAGGAAAACACAAGAGATATACTTAATACAATATAATTTAGATAAAAATTATCCAAAAATGTATGGCATATAAAAGCATAATGGTTCACATAAAATATTTATAGAAAAGTAGTACATGAGATCAAAATTTAATGACAAAATACATGAACATGAGAAAATAAGTCAAAAAACACAAACAAAGGATTAAATATTAGTGTAAAGTGTGTGAAACATGCATATAGTGAAAACAATTATACTAGTTCATTAGACAAATTCAAGTATATCAAAGTGAATATTGAACAATAATAAGTATTGAACTATCTCAACATTAGAGACTAAGGACTAAAGTGTCGCCTATCACCTAAATCATATATGATTTAGGAGGAAGAATGACATTGTTTGTCAAGAGATTCATATCATCTCTAAATATAAAATATATTTTGTACAGGATGGCTACTCTTTGAGATATTGAGTAATAATAAGACTTGAACTTTTGTCATTTCCTTTATTGTCATTTTGGTTCAACGAGCAATTCTTCCTTAGGTGACCTGGTTTTCTGTGATGAAAACAAGTTTATTCAGTATCAGAATCACTAAAATTATATTTATTTACCTTGTTTGCATAAGGATCTTGTTTGCTTTGTAAGAATTTTTGACTATCTTTTGATTTGAGAAATAAGTAGACACCTTTAATAATTTGATCTATATTGTTATCTTTTTAACGCTCAGAACTTGAGTTCATACTAATGTTTACCTTAGCCTTTGATTTTATTCTTTTAGCATTCAAAGCTAATGACTTCTTTGATTTTATTGTAGTTTCTCAATAGTGGCCTCTCTATTAGCTTGATGTGAAGAACACTTTTCTTCATGGTGATCTTCACGAAGAAGTTTATATGCAACCCCCTAGGTCTTCCTCATTTGTTAGGACAAGTTTGTCATCTTCGTCGTGCATTATATGGCCTAAAACATGCTCCTCGAGCTTGGTTTGAGAAATTCAGCTCTGTAGTACACAATATGGGTTTTATTCAGAGTAGGGCTGGTCATGCGGTGTTTGTTCATACCTCTAGTCGAAGATGCACTATTATTCTCCTTTATGTTGATGATATGATCATTATTGGCAGTGACCCTATATTTCTGGATACTGTGAAGACTTCTCTACATTAGAAATTTGAGATGAAAGATCTAGGGCATCTTCGATATTTTCTGGGGCTCGAAGTTGCATATGGTCCACGAGGATATCTTCTTTCTCAACAAAAATACATCTATAATCTTTTGGCCCGAGCTGAGTTGACTAATGATCAGATTGCTGATACACCTCTTCAGCTCCATCAAAAACTAGCACCTGATATAGGAAAGCTTTTGGAAAATCCCACTCGGTATCGTGAAATAGTTGGTGCTTTGGTATATCTTACTATCTCTCGACTAGACATTGCTTATGTCGTCCATGTGGTGAGTCAATTTGTTCAGTCTCCTACCACAGTTCACTATGTTGTTGTACTTAGTATTCTACACTATCTTCGTGGTACTTTATCTAGAGCTCTTTTGTTCTCCTCAACATCAAAGCTACAACGTCGCGCCTTCTCTGATTCTGACTGGGCCGATGACATTATCGATTGTCGATCTATTAATGGGTTTTGTGTTTTTCTTGGTGATACCATTATATCATGGCGAGCTAAGAAGCAACATGTAGTCTCAAAATCTAGTACTGAAGTGGAGTATCGAGCTATGTCTACTGCTACCTCTGAGATCATTTGGTTGCGACAGCTTCTATGTGACATGACCATTGATTGTCTCTCTCCTACTCCTCTATATTACGACAGTCAAAGCACAATAAAGATTGCCACCAATGTAGTGTTTCATGAGCACACAAAACACATTGAAATTGATTCTCATTTCATACGGCATCATTATTCAAAGACTAAGGCGATCTTTCTATCATATATTTCTTCTGAGCTCCAGCTTGCTGATTTTTTCATCAAAGTTCACACCTCCAAGCGCCACAAATTTCTACTTTCCTAGCTCTCAGTATTTGATCCACCATGAGTTTGAGGGGGGGGGGGGGGGGGTATTATTCCTATATGTATATTATATTCATACCTTGTATAGGAGATTATATACCTTATTAAGATGGAGAATATGCTAGAATAATTACATTATTCCATACTATATTTATACAATGTAACTTGTATATATTCATGATTAGTGAAGGAATACAATCAAACTTTTCCTTTCAAGTTATTCCAGATATTGTTTCATTACTTATATTTTGGTATAAATTGTTAGAGTTCTATCTAAAAATTAATATTTCTTGCTCAATTCTCCCTTCAAATGGATGCTCAAGAAACTACCAATAAAAATAGTCCTAAAACAAAAGAAGGGTAAATTTCAAAAGCCCCCAATGAGTATAGTTGTTTTTCACTAAGCAGCAAGGAGTTTGAAATTTTCAATTAATTCTCAATGAGTTTAGTAAATCCAGAATCCTCAAAAAGATTTCATTTCAATTTTTTGACTTGATCGCTATAATTGTATTATATAAATTAACAGCAATTTACAGTTTTGAAGGTTGAAATTAGGGCCCGTTTGGTTGGTTTCCTAAAATCAAAGAAAAGGAAATCGGTACAAGGAAATCAATAAAATAATATTTTTATCCATTTCCATCCCTAAAACTCACCCATAACATCCAATAAAATATTATTTTTATCATCCAACTCATCTCATTTCATCTCATTTCTTACCTTTAAAAATAAACCAAACATAAGAAATGTGTCACATCATCCAACTCATCACATCTCATCTTATCTCATTTATAAAAATCACACACATCATCCAATAATATTGTGACAACTCATCTCATCTCATTAAACCTTCCTTTCCATCCATTTCCTCAAAAAAAACAAGAAATTGATTTCCTTAAGTATGTGTCACATCATCCAATAATATACCTCCAACTCATCTCATCTCATCTATTTTCTTATTTTTAAAAACGAACCAAACATAAACAACCTCAAAACATCATCTAATAATATACCTCCAATTCATTTCCTTATTTTTTTAACCAACCAAACAACCTCAAAACAATTTTTTAAAAAAAATTCACTCACATCATCCAATAATAAGGTGACAACTCATCTCATCTCATCTCCTATTTTATAATTTCCTTCTTTAATAAGGTGACAACTCATCTCATCTCATCTCCTATTTTATAATTTCCTTCTTTTTTAAACCAACCAAACAACCTCAAAACAATTATTTTAGGAAATAGGTTTCCTATTCTTTGATTTCCCATTCTTTTTTGCGAAACGAACAGCCCCTTATAAATGAGAACATAAAGAGAATTGACAGATGTGACAAGTAGTAAATGAGAACATTGATAAGGTGAAATGAAGAAGGAAAAGTGAGTTTAGGGTGAAAAAATATATATGTATAAAAGAGGACATTAAGAGAAGTGGAGGGTAATTTGACAAATATCAAGATTTGGGGGACATTAATTTAACGTAAAACTTCTTTCTCCAAAAACAGAAAAATTGAGTAACTAATATGCATGCATACAAAGCTAAAGGAAAATGGAAGATTCCTAAAAACGGAAAGAGGGAAGTACCTTAAAAATTGACGGAGTTGCTGACATTGAGTATTTCAAAATTTTAGTTTCATGATTTTCACATGTAAATTAAGTGATTATTTTTTTGGTCAATGAAGTAATTTTATTCATTTACCAAATTGAAAAAGTTTTGAACATCAAGATCTCTTCAGAGAGAAAACAAACAAAAAACTTCTAACAACAATTCTATCTAACTTTTACAAAGATAAAATCAAATCTCTATTTTCAGCTGAAATAGGATTGTTCATGTAAATGGTTAAGATATCAATTTTGATATTCCGAACCACTTGAACTGTGCTTCTTGTCTTCTGTTGAAAGAATCTGAGATTCCTCTCCCTCTAGATGCTGTATATGGTCGCCGATATTGCCATCCTCTTCATATTCTGTTTGAAACCATTGCCTCTAAACTTGGTATTAAACCAGTCCATCAGTGTATTCCACTCACAGGCTTGCCATTCAAACTTGAGCCAGTCCATATTAGTTAACCACACTTCTCTTGAGTAAGAACAGGTAAAAAACAGGTGATTCCTGCCTTCCATTGTAGTCGAACACAGATAACATGTATTTGTGTTAATAATACATCTCTTCATCAATCTATCTTGAGTAAGAAGTCTGTTCTGAGACGCAAGTCAAAACAAAAATGCATGCTTTGGGTAGTTCATCTTTCCCCACACTGTACTGAACCATGACACCCTCTGAGTCATTGGGGAGAATTTTTCATAAACTGCAGACAGCTGAATTTTAGATTTCTTATAGCAAGAACTCAGTATTTGTATCAAGTTATCTACTCCTCCCAAAACAACCAGAGCTTTATTCCTGATTTTGATAAGTTGTTTCCAACACCACGAGTCCCCTGTTCTTACATTAACATGCCAGATATCTGAATGTTTTAAGTATTTTCTATGAATCCATTTTACCCACAGCACTTCCATATTGATATGAATATACCATAAGCTTCTTAAAGCTGATGCCAAGTTCCAAATAGAAGCAGAGAATACACCTAAGCCACCTTGTCTTTTTTCGCTGCAAATTTTATCCCATGATACCAACGGAGTTCTAAAAGAATTTTTAGATTTACCCCATAAGAACTTCCTATATAACTCGTCGATCCTCAGGGATACTCTAACAGGAAGTATGAAATTTGATGTCCAAAAGTTTTGAACCATAAGAATCACACTTTTAATCACCTGAATTCTCCCTGCATAGGATAGGTTATTATGCTTTAACTACTTTTGAAACTGGCTTGATATTTTTTCAATAAGAGGATTACAATCCTCACTTGTAAGCCTTTTACAAATCAGAGGTACACCCAGATATCTAAAAAGAATAGTGCCTTCGGTGAAGCCCAGGAAACTGTGAATAGCCTCTTTGACAGAATCATTCACCCCACCATAGTATACAGAACATTTATCCATATTAGCTTCCAAACCAGTGATCTCACTGAAATCTTTAATGCATTGATATAGTTTTTGAACTGAATTCAAGTCCCCTTTGGCAAAGAGAAGCAGAACATCCGTAAAAATAAGATGTAAAATTTTGAGCTTATTACACTGTGGATGATATCTAAACAATCTGTTACCTTTTAAAAGGTCCAATTTTCTCGACAAGTACTCCATGCCCAAAATGAATAGGTATGGGGATAGGGGATCCCTCTGCCTTAATCCTCTCCTTCCTTCAAAATATCCATGAAGTGTACCATTAAGAGAAATAGAGTACTTAGGGGAAGATATGCAAGCCATTATCCATTTAATCATTACTGTAGGAAATCCCAGCCCTTGAAGCATTTCTTTCAAAAAGTCCCAATTGATTATATCAAAAGCTTTTCTAATATCAATATTCATCATGATTCGTGGTGAGATGTTCTTCCTGGTATAATTCTTTATCAAAAGCTTTTCTAATATCAATATTCATCATGATTCGTGGTGAGATGTTCTTCCTGGTATAATTCTTGGCAAGCTCATGAGCCAAGGAAATGTTACATCATGATTCGTGGTGAGATGTTCTTCCTGGTATAATTCTTGGCAAGCTCATGAGCCAAGGAAATGTTACTAGTAATTTGTCTTCCCTTGACAATTGCACTTTGGGCCTCATTCACAATGTACCCCATACTTGGTTTAATTCTAGGTCTGAAATCAGAGGGTGATTTAGGACATTGTACATTTGGTATCAGAGTGATGGAAGTAGAGTTGACCATTCCCAACATTTTCCCATTCTTGAAGAAGTCCAGAATAGCTGATGATACCTCATCCCCAATCACAGGCTAAGCTGATTTGTAGAATGCTACCCCATATCCATTAGGGCCTGGAGCCTTGTTATCATCCATTGAGCCTTGTTATTATCCATTGAGAAGATAGCATTCTTTATTTCTTCTTTCGAAACTAGTCTAGAAAGGAAATTGGTTTATGATTCAGATAAGCATGGCCCAGCTTGAATGACATGGATGTCAGGTGAAAGAGTGACCGTGGATGTCCCCATCAAGCCTTTGAAGTAAGACACCAGTTCATTGGCAATCCCTTCTTGATCAGTTATTCTTTGTCCCGAATTATTATAGAGCACTAACACTTTATTATGATGTCTATTAGATTTTATCATTGAATGGAAAAAATTAGTGCACCTATCCCCTTGAACACTCCATTTAATCCTAACTTTTTGCTGGAAAAAAGAAAGCTCACAATGCTGAAGCTTGTTGAATTTAACTTTACAATCTTTCCTCTTCCATAATGAATTCTGGATTGAGAGAGCTGATCTGGAGGTTTCCTTGAGCTTCATCAAGTGCAAACTTAGCTCTTTGAACTTGCTCATTGATATTGTAATAATGCTTTTTGTTAATGTCTTTAAGAGCTCCTCTTAGTTGCTTAAGCTTCATGCAAACTGAGTACATTTTATACCCATCAATTTTTGTTTGCCAAATTGTAGTAACAGCTGGAAGGAAGCTATCATGCTTTGTCCACATATTAAAGAATTTGAATGGTTTCTTCCCACCTGGACACTCATCATAAAAAGATACCAAAGCAAGAGAATGATCAGAAAAGCTAGGGAGTAAGAATTCAACCTGACTAGAAGTGTACAAGTGAATCCAAGCATCATTCACCAGAGCCTTGTCTAATCTACTCCACACTCTTGAGTCTTGATCTTGTTTGTTATTCCAAGTATAAAAGCAGCCAGTTGTTTTTAGATGATTTAAGTTGCAGTCTTCAATAAAATCTCTAAAATCCTTTGTGTCAGCTTCAGAAAGAATTGAGCCACCCAACTTTTCCTCATTACTGATAATAGTGTTGAAATCACCACATAAGAGCCAAGGTTCATTTCCAGTGGAGAGTTGTAGCATCTTCAATTCCAGCCGCAAATCCTTTCTTGCTTGCATTTGGTTTAAACCATATATTGAAGTAATAACACATTTCATTCTCTCATCCAAGGATTGTACTTTGCAGGTGATACTTTGATCTGATATCTTGATAACTTGAATGTCAAGAATATTTGGATTCCATATAATCCATATCTTAGCTTTTCCATGATTACTGACATTAGATAGCCAGTTCCAGTTTTTTGGAATTTCCTTTGCTACATCCTTCAATCTGCTTTCTCTAATCTTTGTTTTGAGCAAAGCAATGTAGGACATATGATACTGAGATAAGAACAACTTTACTAAATGTTTTTTAGAGGATTTATTTAATCCTCTTACATTCCAGAATAATATATTCATCATTGACCACCCCCATTATCTAATGTAGAGGGATTAATATCCAATATATCTAAGTATGAAAAAGAATTAGTAGGGATAGTGGACTTAATGTGTTTGCCTTTTTGAACATGTACCCACGAGCTATTTGTCTGAGTAGCACCCCCAGATCTGTGAACATTTCCAGTATTAGCTTGTTTGTCATGCACAACAACATGCACAGACATGTGCACAACCCGCTGCCCAGATTTAACTACAGAAGCTTGCAAATCTTCATTCACATGTTCAGTTTTAGGACATCATTGACCTGTTTCAAGTGATGAGTACACCCTTCATATCCAAGAGCCTGCTGATCTGAATTTATTTCAGATTGTAATTTTTCAGGTTCATTTTCTGTAGGCTGAATTTGCACATTTTTAACCTCATCTTCCTGTCTATCAACATTCAGCTTCTGTATATGAGAATCAGGTATTACATTAGCTCTCTCCTTCTCAACATTTCCAGATGTAGGATTTTTCTTAGGAATCCATCTTTGTGCTTTCACTTGTCTCCTGTAGGATTGTGTATCATGCCCTACTAGCTTGCACAAATTACACCATTTAGGCTTTAATTCATATATTACTATCCGTATAATTTGTTTCCCTTTTGGACCTTGAATGATGATTTGATCTAGAAGAGGGGAGGGCATATTAACTTCTACTAGCACTCTTGCATATGCCAAGCGCTGCCTATTTGCTGTTAACCTGTCAATAGCTATGTGACACCCTATAGCACTAACAATCTTACTAATGCTTTTAGCATTCCACAGGTTTAGCCTCAAAGCTAGAAGTTGTATCCATATAGGATATACACAATCCCTTATTTTGTCAATTTCATCTCCATTAGACCAAGGCTTCTGCAAGAGGGGTCTTGAACCAAAGAACCAATGTCCCTTACACAAAATCTCATTCATGTCTTCTTTTTCTTTGAATTTAAACAGAAAAATTCCAGGTTTTAGCAGGCAAACTTCCAGCATTAAATGTTTCCAGACTTTTTGCACATAGGCTTCCATGGCCTTGAATTTGACATTCAGACCTAAAACTTGACCAATTAGAGAAGATTGCCAAACTGAGATATCCTCATTCCATTCATCATCATCAAAAGTTACTATATCCTTGTTTTCAATGGGAACATAGTTCAAATTCATTCTACTTCCAAGTTTCCTATTATCAGCAAACAGGCTAACCCAGCTTTTTCCTATTTTTTTCCCTTGTTTCATTTTTTTGATGATTCTATCGGAGGTATTTCATTATCTTCTTTGGATTTCACTTCAGATAATACATTGGATTCCAAATTTTCTCTGCTTAACACTTCATTATTTCTCTTTTCCGCATTCAATGTAACAGTAACATTCTCATTAACCAGAATCAATTTTTCCCCTGAATCATTTATCGATTTCTGAATCTCATGATTTAAAGAAGAGTTTACAGAATCTTTACCATAATCCATCTCATCTGCCCATGATACCCTTGTAGATCTACTAGAACCAGGAGTGAGAAGACAATCTGATACTCGCTCAAGCTGATCTTTCGGATCTCCTGATATTCTATCTACACACACTCGATCTTGCACAGGAATGGCAGAACTCAGAATTTTCGCCATAGATCTGGACTTCTTCCCCCCTTTTGGACCAGTTGATCCCATTTTAATGAAAACTTCATCATCTTCTTCACTCCGAGCTTCAGGTTGATCCTCTGAAATAGCCGAATTCATCATAGATGTTCTCAATCCGATCTCTAGGATTTTTTTCCCACTAATTTTCTTCTTGTTAGCCATCAAGAACTCAAAAATCTCGGCGGGGGAGCAGAATAGCAGCAAAAAAATCGCCTGCTATCCTGCACGATTCAGGCCGCCCTCTTTTGACACTAATGTTGCAACTAAGTAAAAAATACTAGTAGATAGCATTAAAGCCAATAATCTACATATAAAACAAATTAAGTGATTATTTCCAATCGTAGATGCACGATATTTCCAACATTTATTATAGCTCAGATCAGGATGAAATATTCCTGTCGATCGTCGCACTTAGTTGTATACACTAATTACTAAACAATACCTACTTAATTTTGAAAGCTTGATGCTATCCTATGTACAAGCTTTTTATATATCCCTAGTATAAATAGAATATAAACGCCTAAAAATACATATAATAATTATTTTCCTCAAACGTGTCCTCCAAAACAGTTCGATTGCTTGTCGTCATACGAAATTTTTTTTGTTGAAAAACTAATTTGGTAACTCATTAGTCCTCAAATACGCTCACTAGTACAAAGAAGCTCTACCCCAACGGTTGTAACCGTTGGGGCAAGTAGTATCCCCAACGGTTACGACCGTTGGGGCAGAAAATCCACCCGTTACGGCAACTAGCGTTGGGGCTGAATCAGCCCCAACGGGTGAAAATCTGCACCAACGGTTGTAACCGTTGGTGCAAGTATCAGCACCAACGGTTCCGTTGGTGCAAGTATCAACACCAACGGTTACAACCGTTGGTGCTGATACTTGCACCAACGGTTGTAACCGTTGGTGCTAATCTTTTTCATTTTTTTCAGTTTCATTAATACCTCTTGCCTGCCATGTTTACATAAAATTCATTTCCAACAAAAATATATATATTATATCTGTTCACATCCATAAAGAGTTCAGGCAATCTCAAACAGTCAAACTGTCACAGTATTTTTTTTCTCAACAAAAATATATGTTTGGCAATAACATAATACGTTCAGTTACATACATTCAAAACTATTTCCATATCTAACGGACACATAACATCCAACTGAGACATGCTCTGTTGATGAAAGGGGAGAGACTACTATTTGATTATACAAAATTATAGATAAACATCTTTGCATTTGACATGAGCAAAGTATCCCTTCCAACATTTAAAAGCTCCTTGCACTTATCTCACATAACACACACCACTTGAAAATTAGGGAATATGAGCTACATCATGAGTTCAGTCCCATAAAAGTCGACGACTGGGCTTATTTAACCTCAAGAAGCATCTCAGCCTTGAGTGATATCAGTGCAGAGCATGGCAATCTTCAATACCGCTAGCATTTGCTTCCTCCAAGAAAATGAGACAGTGCTCAGCCTTGTGTCCATTATCTGCTCAGGAGTTTCGTCTCTCTTTGATGCACTATGTACCCACTTCACTAGATCAATCCCTTCACCAAATTGCTCATCAACAGGTAATCTGCTAGTTAAGAGCTCTAACAGTACAACTCCATAGCTATAAACATTTCCTGGAGCAGTCACTTGCATTGTGTATGCGTATTCTGATAATGAAACAATACACATAAACACCATAATGTTGTATCATCTAATTATCCTAAATAGAGTTACAAAAGAAAGATAGGGTAAATTGCATTTACTCTTCCAAAATTGAAAGC